AAGGTTGTTTTGTTTTTTTTTAATTGCTTTATGTCTCATGGGTATGTTTATCTTCTCAAGCAGTAATTTATAAATGTTACGTTACTTGTAAAAAAAAAAGGTTTTTTTTTTTTAAATTGCTTTATGTCTCATGGGTATGTTTATTTTCTCGAGCGGTAATCTAATTTTACGTTACTTATTGTAAAAAAAAGGTTTTTTTTTTTTAAATTGCTTTATGTCTCATGGGTATGTTTATCTTCTCGAGCGGTAATCTTTTAATTTTACATTACTTATTGTAAAAAAAGGTTTTTTTTTTTTTTTAATTGCTTTATGTCTCATGGGTATGTTTATCTTCTCAAGCGGTAATTTATTACTGTTACGTAACTTATTGTAAAAAAAAAAAAAACCTTTTTTTTTTCTTTTAAATTTAATTAGCATTTTTATATTTACATACAGTATTTATGTTTTTCTTGCAGAATGCAACTGAGAAAATTAGACATATATAAACATATCACCAACAGCGATGTCTGCTAAAATTTCTGATACAGTTTGATAAACTGGCTCATCTTCTCCATCAAAATCACAACAATACTCCTCTTCTGCTATTGCTATGATCTTTCCACTGCACATTTTGTCACCTTCTTCTGTTGCCCACTTCTGATTAAAACTGAAGTTAACTATGGAGTTGGGTGATTTTAATATTTCTAACAATGTAGCCTTATCATCCTCTATTTCAAACTGTGTCAGTTCCATCAGATGATCTTTTAGTTCCTGAACTGATGCTTTCGAGACTGCAAATTTCCCCACAAACTTGCATTTTAGGATATCTTTTCTAAGCTTGATTTGGGCTTTAAGTGCTGTCATCATGTTTGTTTTGTTCAGTTTTGCATTGTCTATCTGTTCATGTGATTCCCATATGTTATTTTTGAGGACGCTTTCAAATACCTTTTCTTTTTCTGCTCTTTTATTGTCCTCTCGATTTTCTATTAGTTGTCTTGATTCTTTTAGCTTCTCACTGAGAGTTTTCCTCAGTTTCTGCTCTCTTTCCATATCTTTCTCTCGTATCATTCTACCCTCTCTAGTTGCTTCAGCAATTATCTTGGCTTTTTCTTCTTTCGATTTATTTGCAAGGTAGTCTTTTACTTTGTTTACTTTAAATGTGACCTTCTTTGAAATCTTTTGTGGTTTGGCAGATCTTGCTAGTCTTTCCTTAGCATCATAATGTGCAAAGACTCTCTCACCAGAGATGTTGTTACTCCCGCAAGAAGAGGCTTCCTCCCTTAGTGTTACCGATGGTCTAAAAAACTTTCCTCCAGGCAAATAATCAGCAAATTGCCTTTGCATTACATCTTGGATTTCCTATAACATCGCTGCGAATATTTCACCTGTCTTATCATCTTGTTCTGACGACGATGTGAGCTTTAAAAAAACAGAATCATTCTTTACTGCAGTGCCGAAGGCGGTCGTTTGAAACCCACAGATGACATTCTTTGGGTCACACAAAGCAATGTTCTCTAAAACTTCTTTAATTGTGTCATTTGTTTCCAGGATTAGGTGATTGGTTGCTTGCCACCTCATCCACGGCCCAGTTACATATTTATCAATTAATCCCAATGCCCTTAGAAATGGAATTATCTTCCCATCTTTATAAACATTGTTCACGGCCATATGAAGGCTGTTTCGTGGCTTCAGGTACTTGCTAAAAAATTCTTGAATTGCATCGCTGTAATGAAACGCTAAACCAGCATCAACAAAGAAAATATTAAAGCGATTTCCTACCCATCTCGGGAAGAGTGTGGTGTTTTCCCCTGCACCGAAGCCTCTTTGTCTTAGAAAATGAGGTAGCTCTTTGGGTAGACCACACCCATTGTCATGGAATAATTTATCCACAGATCGAATAAGGGCTTGGGCTTTACACTCGCCTCGATTTGAAAATGGATACTGAAGTCCATCGCCCCAGAGTCCTACTTCTAGCACTTTCAGTTTATTTGCACACTGTTTGTGGATGGTGTCTAGAGGGTGGACTGCACATCTAAAAGAATTAATGTTTTTACCAGTATTGTTTGCTAATTCTCTATCAATAGCACCATTTACTGTGCATCTGTCAGTCATAGTGTTAGTGATCTCCTTCATGATGTTCGGGTTAACACCATTCACAATATCTTGTATACTTTCAACATATTCATCGGCAGTACCCCCTGCAGTTTCCACTATACCTAATGAGTAATTTTCCCTTTCAGCTGTAGACACCTCCACTTCCACTAGGTGTTTGCCGTTTTTCGTTGTTCCATCATATTTGATAGTAAGGTTCTTTTGTCCACTCAGAGTCTCTCGAAGAAACTGATTTGACACGGATTCCATTTCAGAAGCTATACGATTTTGTGAACTTCTTGATGGTAGTTTTCCGTCAAGCTTCCCATCAGTCATTGTTGTTATCACTGCCTCTATTGCTGGCCCAACACTGCCCTCAGCAACACCTAGTGTTTGCAGGTACATGCTTACTTCTTTTACATTAGGATGAATCCGATTACCATTTCTTGTTTTTACAACATTCTCCTGCTGCTGATCTTGTGCATCAACTAAGTTATTTTCAAGCGAGTGAACTCTTTCAATATTGTCTTTGAGTTTTTCAACAGTTGTGGCCAATTCACTTTTTACCTTTATCAGTTCATGTTGATCACTTATTTTATCACACTGTAATATTTTCTTCTTGGAAGCACGATTTTTCTGATTACTTTTATTTTTTTTCATTCTTGAGAGCAATTTCTGTCTTTTTTTGCAAGTAGTGCAGATGTGTTTGAGTTTGCTTAAAGTTGTACACTTGGTTTTCCAATGTAGGACTTGCTGTTTCTTTCTTTTCTGTGATTGTACTATATGCTTCACACTACCAAGCTTACCAATTGTGTCATGTAATTTATTCAATTTGTCTAGGGCAGCAGACTTGTACCTCATTTTGCAGTATTTCTACTTTAGCTTTAAGTTCTGCATTCTCCCTTAGCACATCAGCCATTGCGAATGTATGCGAGTCCAACAAGCTTTCATCTAAGTTGACACGTTTAGTTGGTCTAATTACATCATCATCTTCATTTTGCATTATTCTCATCTTACCATAAGTTTTTGCAGGTGGCATGTATTTTTCAGAGAGAAAACACTGAAGTTTTTTAGCTCCATCAGGTCTAGAAGAATGTTTCAAATAATTTTTATGTTTTTCCCGCACAGAACTGAAGCTACACCTTACAGCTGGTGCTGAAAAATTTCCATTAAACTTTGTATCAAGTATATGGGCAACATGCTGCCAAGTAATATCTTTTGCCTTCGTCTTTGCGTTCATCAGCCTACAAACATCACAAACAATCTGGTTGGTGAAGCTGTTCGGTTCAACCTTATGTAGTGGGCCAACTGATGTGAGCAGTACAGGCCTCTCCATACTACAAATGAAAAAAAAATATACATTACCATTAGTAAATAATATACAATATAATGTTATTGAAAAATAACAAGCTTAGAAAAATGTTGTATATATTGTTTTTTAGGATACTGTAGCAAAATGAAATAAACTTTACATTTATGAGTACTGTTTGTCACTTACTTTTTGTCACTGAATGTTTGCCAACTGCAAAATAAAACATTGTCTTAATTTATTTCAAATCACTTTTGACTGTCATTAAATTAAAACAGATAAAAAAATAGTTAAAACTAAACTGATCTATTGAAAATAGTTTAATTAAAATAGTATGTTACAAATAATTTTTAAAAACTAAATTGCTTTTTTTAATAAAAAAAAATACTCATAAAAAAAAAATTTGTTTTAATCTGAACGAAAAACTTGTAAAAACAATTAAAAATTCTAATAATTTCAATTATAATCATTGATGAACTAATGAAAGCATGAACAGAATTATAATTGTTTATATTTTGACTGTTAATACAATAAATTAACAGTCAAAATATAAACAATTATAATCATTAGTTTATCAATGATTATAATTAAAATTATTAGAATTTTTAATTGTTTTTACAAGTTTTTCTTTCAGATTAAAAACATTTTTTAAACTGAATTGCTTTTTTTTAATAAAAAAAAAAACTCATAAAAAATATTTTTAATCTGAAAGAAAAACTTGTAAAAACAATTAAAAAATCTAATAATTTTAATTATAATCATTGATGAACTAATGAAAGCATGAACAGAATTATAATTGTTTATATTTTGACTGTATTGTATTCTTAATGTAAAGCGCCTTTGAACATGATTATTCATGAAAGGGCACTATAGAAATTTGATAAATAAATACTGATGATTTTCATAAATTTACCCCTATTCCGGAAAATGGACTCGTCCACTGCCGTTCACAGCAAATACAAATCTTGGACCAATCCATTATGGAATGTATTTATTATCGTAAACCCTCCCAAGTTGACTCCATAAAATCTAAAATAATAACTATTTACTAGTGTAACGTGAAAGTACATGTATTTATTTACTTAAAAACAATCCTATTTGTTTGTGTGATTCTAGAAAGTTCACCAATTTTCCGCTAGAAAGTAACTTACCCTCTAGGCCTAGCCAGAGCAACTAATGATTTTGGGGTCCATAATTTTCTATGGGCGACCCTGTCGATGCACACCGTTAGTGTTTCTATGTCAAAAAATGCCTGTACATTCGCATTATCGACTCTAAAACATCGACCGCGGTCGCCTTATTTTATCGTTAAAAATGTTTTTTTTTTAACTTACCGAAAAACAATTGGTATAAATATAAAATGAAAAGGTCAAATTGTACGATTTGCTCCTCGCATGACTAGCTGTTCATAAAAGTTCGAAGTGACGCCTGCTAGTCGCATTACATCTACCAGAAAGTGAGATCCATGCGCCCTTTGTATTAGATACTATAATGGTAGTGACACATCACACATCGCTAGCGGTCACAATTCGCCAGTGCAAAGTACTTCCTCATGAAGTGCGCCACCATCGGCGTCGTGTGTGAATCTGCCTAACTCTATTGTAAGGAGAACGAGAACGTGAAGTATTATAGTCTGTACATACCTCTGTTGGGTAAGTCAGGATGGCCAAGTTATACGTGATAATAGCTATTTATTGACGTTTACATTGAAATTATGTTATTTGTTGGTGGTTTCAATATGCTATGAATAACAGTTAGTAGCATATATATAATTTTGGATAGGCCTGATGCTTAGATTCAAAATCAGCTCATATACCACTGTTGTTATTATGATATTATTAATGTGATATTAATAGTGATATTATTAATATTATTTGATGTTGTGATTTTAAATTATTGAAGGTAATCTTACATGACTAAGTAAATTACATGACTGCAATGAGTTGTTTGTTTATTGCAGTGGTTTTTTGTTTTGTTTCTTATGTTTTACTTGAGACTGGGGATTTGATTGTTGGAATTCAAGTTAATTGAAGAATAAAGAAACATACAGATCAGCAGCCATATCGTTGTACTAGTGTGTCTGTGTTCAAATCCCGGCCTACGACAAATGGTGTCAGAATTGGGATGGCTGCAGTGAAGATCAAGAAGAAAACCCTCAACTTTGCGTGTGTACATACAGGAAACGAAGAAAGTGTACAGATAGTTAGGTGGTTGTAAATTGGACTGGACTATTTTGTATCATTGTTTTGATTTTATTATAGTTTTGTGTATTCGATAATTTTGTTTCAAACAATTTAGGATGGCTAACCCAGGTGGCGAGGAGGCAGGAGGTGCTGCGGCTGCTCCTGATTTGGCCCAGATGGTTGCGGCATTGACAGGTGCGTTTAAGAATCTTTCTACGTCAAGAACAATGCCAGCTATGAAATTAAGCAAGTTTAAAGGACAACCAGACACTGCAGGTGACCTTTCATTACACGAATGACTTATTGAATTCCATGATTATAGTGCTTTCTATAAATTAGAAGGAAAAGATAAAGCTCAAAGCATGCTTACCCATCTCAGTGGGGCTGCCAAGGAAGAGATTCTTTGTAGAGAGAGTGCTGTTAAGGAAGATAGTAAACAGATCATAGATATTCTAAAGTTAAGATTTGGACCAAAAGAAGGAGTTCAGTCTCTTAGTAGTGAACTTCATAATCGTGAGCAGTTGGAAGGTGAGACATTGGCAGAGTTTAGCAACATATTGATTAGACTGTATGATCGAATAGAGGCTGCGGCCAGTGCCGATGAAAAGGAGGCGTTGTCTAAGTTAAAAGATAGTACCTTGAAAGAAAGGTTAGTGAGAGGGCCCCGAGACAAAGGAATTCAGCGGGAGTTGATGAGGAGAATCCTAATTGCCAGTATCCTTCCTGAAAATGAGTGAAGAAGTCAAGGCGAAAGTTCGAGAGATAGCCGAGGTACAGGTTGTGTCACGAGGTGATGAGGATGACATCCGCAAATTGAAGGATGAGGTTAATCAACTGAAGGATTTGTACAGGATCTGGTTAGTGTGGTGAAATCTATTAAGCCTATTGGAAGGAGAGTGATTTGTGTTTCAACTGTGGTCGAAAGGGTCATCGAAGGAGAGATTGCCGTGTACCTGTTAAGTGTTACAATTGTGGTAACATGGGACATATGAAATATAATTAGCCACATTGGGGAAAATTACCATTGAAACAGAGTGATGTGAGACAGGTTCAAGTGCAGAAACCAAACCAAACAGAAACAGAAATTGTACCAGAGGTTCGAACAGCATCACATGTCGTGCAACGTGGTACCAGTGAAGACCTGAAATCATGATTAATTTCAGAAAGTCCCACGGCGGAGTTGTTAATTGCTGGAAGTCGGATCGGCTGTATCTTAGATACTGGTGCTGAGACTAGTTTGATCCCACTGAGTTTTTACAGAGAAATTTTGCAACCAAAGTTGGTTCTCTTGGATGCGGAGATGGAATCAAGGTTGTAAGTGTTACAGGCATCACGATTCCTATTGCTGGTTACATAAAGACATTAGTAACCTTATCAGGGAAGTCAGCAGCGATGGGATTTCTGGTAGTAGAGGACCAGGTGATCACGAAACGGAGATCAAAATTTCCATTGATTTTGGGGTCCAACTCATTGAGAGCTTTGTTTAAGAACGACAAAGTACATTATGACTCATGGGATGTTGTAGATAGTGCATTCCAAACTGAAGTGACACAACCAATAGAGGGGTTAACACTGAAGACTAGAAGTAAAAGGGAAGTTTTGCCCCCTCTTGCAGTGAGGAGAATGGAGTGTGTAATAGCCAATTCTAATAAAGAAATGGATATCCTGGTGGCGTCGAGAGCAGAAGGTCCAGTTAAAAGTTATGAGGGTTTTCCTCAGCGAGATGGAATGGTGTACCAACTTACAGTGGCGAATAAGAGTGAGAGAGAAGTAGTAATAACTCCTGGTACTGTATTAGCTTCAGCTGTGGCTGTCGATATGAAGGAAAAAGTGGTTGCAGAACCTAGGAATGGATTCATTGGAGTGACAATTGCTGAACTGTGGAAAAAGGGGTGCCTCTGGATGGGCCAGAGTTTGGATTGCAAGTGACTGCAATCGAGGGGCCAAGTGAATTTGGTACAGAAAGGTTTGTGTGGAGATGGAACCGGGCAGGATTTGCCAAGTGGGATGAGTTTGGATGGTGTTGATCAAGTCGAGAGATTTAATTCTACTCTTTGAATGATCAGATCATTGGAACCAAATGAGAGAAGATGTTGGCCGGAGCTGCTAAATCACTTGGTATATATGTACAATTCCACACAACATCGTGCTACTGGGTTCTCTCCTTATAAATTGACGTACGGCCGTGAGCCAACCATTCCTTAGATCAGCTACTCAACAGGGCCTGTAAAGATTCGGACAGTGATTAAGTGCAGAATCAAGGAGATGCTTTAAAGGAAGCTATGACCATTGCTGAGAGCCAGATCAAGAAAACAAGGGAGAATGATAAACGTCTACATGATAGACGAGTGCAGGTCAAACCATTGGAAGTCGGGAAGCGAGTATTGCAAAGCAAACTGCGTTTACTGGGAGACAAACTTGTTGATAAATACCACCGAGACCAGTGTGTAATAGAGGCGGTGAATGCTGAGCAGGATGTATACACTATAAGACCTGTTTTAGGTGGAAAGTCAAAAACAGTGAATCGGAAATTAATCATCCTTGATCCTCGACTGGAAATTTGTAATGAGGAACCAGAAGAGTGGCCATTGCCTGCTCCACAAATGGGTGACAACATGAATGAGAAACCTTCAGTGAGCAGTGAGGACTCGTCAGATGATGAAGCTGAGTTTCATTTAAGAATTGAAGTTCCAGATGATGTCATTCCCTTGAATACGGTTAGTGAGCATAACGATAAACAATTGAGACGTTCAGCCCGTCCAAATAAAGGAGTACATCATAATCCTGCAAAGTGGCCGAAATCTGTTCTTAAACAGTAATTGTGTGTTTTACCTTATTAGTACAGCATTATTATTTATTGATGTAGTTTATTGATTATTGAATTTTAGTGTTA